TGGAAATGACATTTTGTGAGTAGTCTTTTCTGTACATTGCTATGATATGTTGAATTATATTGATGTAGACCCGCCCACAACTAACATATAAATCACAAAATCTAGACACAGATGACTGTGGATGTTTAGCAGTGCCATTCGTAAGCTAATAAATGATCATTTTATGTTTTGTTCAAATGTCAAGAGTCAACTGTGAAAAACCCTGAATTTCTGGATTCTTACAAAGGTATACCACATGATCCTAATACTTAAAACCAAGTGCAGCTTTCTCAAAAGATACAATATCAAAATAGGAAGGAAGAAAAAAAGCAAGTCTGATATAAACAGCACGTTTTCTCTGGTTTCCTGCCCTGCCTTTGCTCTTTGGTATAGACAGAGCAGGACTGAGTGAAAGGCCATTAAAGGGCAGGTGCCCATGCCGCTGGCCTGATTCTCTAGTTGACACAGCAGAAGTAACGATACAAAATACAAACCCTTTCTCACACTCACCTTGATTTTAAGTTTCCCATTTCTATTCCTGACATGGACTCTTAATTACTGGCCCCATGAATCCATTCCCTTCCCCAGTTAAAAGTATAAACAGAATTAACATCTTTTTCTTTGTTAGGCTGTAAAATTGATTACATTCCCACAAACCTCAAATGGGTAATTTAAGACTTCCTAAGGCAATTCAGAGTCCACAGTGAGAAGCAGACAACCTGGATCTAGAAAAATGTGGCAGTTTTATTTCTCAAAGGATTCAGAAAGAGAAAGTTGCTAAGAATAGGATAGGATTAAACACTGCTTATATTTCACAACAATATCATTGTAAAGGGAAAGTGGTTGAGTGAGGAGGTGAGGTTAGGGGTGTTAGTGTAAAGACAGGACCACGTGCTTTCGCTTTTACCCTAATGTCTCTATAAAATGTAATTTTTTTACTAGTTGCAGCAACTTGTTTTGAATGTTTGGAGTTGGGGTGTCCGAGCCTGAAATGTTGTAGTCACAGCAATTTGGGTATTCCAGGAGTTTTGTCGTTTATTTTTTACTGAGTTTTATACCTGATTTCCACTATCCAGAAGACAGTGAATTGAAGCAATATTTTCACAGTAGAGTATCTAGGCTTCTCTTAGCTGTGAGGGTTAAAGTTTTCATATTTCCTACTTAATTACTTTTTAATAAAGGTTTTGTTGGAAAAACTAAGCATGATATTTCACTAGGTACTAATCAACATTACAAAATTTAAGACAATGATATATGATTAATACTAAGCTTGTGTAGTAATGGATATGTTGTCTGATAAATAAAAACCAAAAAGCAAATAAAATTAAAAGAAAGATATGGACACAATAGACCCCTCTCTCGGGATTGTCAGTTGATATCAGTGACCATCTTGTTTAGCCCTGGTTTTCATTCTGACTTGCGTAGACTGATTGCCTCTGAATTTTCTCACTCATGCCATGGGCCTCAAGAGCTCTTTAGAGTGTGGAAACAATTTGTTTAAAAAACCATTGCAGGCAGCTTCAAGCCTCAGTTCTTCTTCCAGCAAGAGAATTCCATCTAAAAAGCAAAAGTGTGTTTTTTTTTCCTTTTAAGTTCCTTGTTCCACCTTAGACCCAATCATAAAAAATATATAAAATATTCACAGCACTGTAGTGCAACCAATTTATGTAAAATCCCATTCTTTCTATAATTCGAAGGATATTTCACAGCAAACTTTACTAACTTTAATCTCCTACTCCACCCTCAATCTCAATAATCAGTTTCTCACAGGATTAGATACTGTGATTTGATTTTTTTAAGGGACTGTACATATTCCCAGAACATAGCATCTTAAAGTACATTAAGCCAAAATGAATGTGGTTTCATCGAGTATATGAAGTGATTCTTCCACTCCAGTCACAAATGACTTATGGATGGTTAGCAGTGCCATCCGTGCGGGCTTGCCTTTGATTTGTAGATACCCAAGAATTGTCTCCGTGGAGAAAATGTACAGAGGTAGCATTTCACTTTTATGTTTTTCATCAAACAGCTTCCTCGTGACAGAGGGAAAGGTATGAAAGTTGTTAGGGAAAACATTTCTTCAGAAGTCAGAGGCTTGTGTGCACTGTAAAGGGAATACTAAGTTAAACCTGGGCTAGAGGATTCTTTTCAGATAAGTATCCTTTGCAAAGCCACCTTTACCTCATAGAAACAAAATTGTCAACAGGTAGCTGCTTATAAGTTATTTTGTCATAGAATTAAAGAAACTTTGATTCTAAAATGTATGCTTTTGTGTACCCATATGAAATCTGTAGTATCTGAAACATTCTCAACCAAAGAAAGAATTGCAAGTCCGCACTTGGGGCTGGTGCTCGGTGGTTTCTGGGATCCAAGAAATCTCACTGTGCCTCCTCTGGAGCCTGGAATCTTACTTCCATAAGTTCAGTTCTTTGAATTAAGGCTTGTAATAAAAATTGTATTTTCACTCTTTATTGGTGTGAACCAAACCCTGGATGGGGCCACATTTTAAATAATTACTAATGATGATGCCTTTAAGAAACATTTATTTATCAATTATCTTTATATCTCAAGAGCTACTTGTGAGAGAATGGAAGACTACAACAAATACCAGGTTTTTCTAGGAGATAATTAGGATGGCAAGCCTGTAATCCCAATGGCTTCCTAGGTAGGCAGCCTTAGGAACTCCAGGAAGCAAAAGAAATAGTAGGAGGATGCCCAGTATCTTAAAAGGGGGAGGGGGTGATGTTGAAAACAAAGATGCTGTGGGTAAATTTGAGACCTGCTTTCTGTTTCCCTGTGATTCTTGGTGATATTGGTGTTATATGGGTGGTTCTACCCTTTTTATTTTAATAGATTGGTTCCATTTTACCACAAAATATTTATATATGCATCTTCTAAAAAAACACCCAACCATACTACAGCATGGAGAGTGTAGAGAAAACACTCACGAAAGGAATGCTTCCCTCTGGAAACAACTTCCCACAGGATGGAGTGTTTTCTCCGGTGCTATTGGAAGGACATCGGAAGTCAATGGATTTCAGCTCTGAATACAGCTCATTTGCTTTAATTTAAAGGTCTCACTTTCAATTTTGTATGGGATGTTTAGGTTTCCTTGTAGGCCTCTTAGGAATCATAAGCTTCTTTACTCCTTAACTGTATACTTCATTGCTGTAATTGAAGCTCTTTTGTTGCTATAATTCCTTCCTAATGTTATAGTTTTAGTCAAGTATTCTTTCCCTCTACAGGCATTAATTGTTACCAATTTTGAAAATGCCCTTGATTGGTGTATACTTTTTGCTTCTGGTGCCAAAACATGTCACTCTTTGCTATTCTTCCTCTAGGTGAAAAGACGTTTTTTCTTCTTGTTCAACATACACCATGCCCTTTTTAAGCTCTGTAGTGTAATTTAGAGTATCTTTGTCTACCAGGTGGAAAGTCAGCATTCTTCATGGTTTCATGTACTTCACCAATTTGCAGTACATGTCTCAGGATAGAAGATTTAAATTTTCTTTTATTGGCTATCAGCTGTGAAATTATTGGTCACTGGAGCTCATGACAGTCTATCCTTGTTAAGGATTTACCTTTGGTTTCTAGTATGTCACTAAAATAAATGGTTATTTTCCGATGACAAGACCTTCACTGAAATACAAAGTTAAAAGGGAAGATACTTCTTCAAATGTAGCAGAGTGTACTAGAAAATATCCTCTAGTTTGAAATTAAGTGAGTTTCTCTTTATTTAGTCCTGGTAACTATTTCAGATCATATACAGTTAAACAGATACTTTATTAACAAACTTTATTCCCTTCATTCATACACACACGCACGTGCGCACACACACACACACACACACAATCTACCTTCAGTTAAAGAGGAAATATTATTTAATTATTGTTTTACAAAAAGTTATAAACACTAGAATATATTTTGAAATAAAAGCCATTACCCTTCAACCAGCATTAACTGAGTCCCCACACTGAACAGTCCCCTGTTCCAGGCACTAGAGAAAGAGCATTAAGCAAGACAGACAAATAACTCCCACAAATCCTGAGTTTTAGAAAGATGGTCTAGATTTCATTTCCAATTTAAATTTATTCTGTTCTTCCTCATCTGATTCTTTACTAAAGGGCCTTATAAGCTCCATCCAATAGGAACACGTTCTCCATGATGAGAGTGCCAATTTGTGTTTCAGTGCTTGGAATTATGCAATTTATTCTAAAAGTCATCTGCTTCTGAGAGTAGTACAAGTCTATTTTATTATATAAAAATGAAATACACTGAAATTTATTATTATTTTACTGAATATAAATCAAGAAATAGGTTCAATATACATTACCTAAGGACTGACATTTCAAGCCCCTTAGCCATGTGTTGCAGTAAATGTGTTTCCTTGTTCATTTACTGCTACATTTTTGAATCATTGCCTCTGCCCATATGACTTTTGATGTCTCTCCCTACAGCCTGGATGAACCCATTTCTTTCCAAGGGTGAGAGCTGCTACAAGATAATAGAAAACCTTGGCCTGAGCTACACAGAACTCTTGCTTATTATAATGTTGTATAGAACTCAAAAGAAGAATTGATGTACAGTTTAGTCTTTTTTTTATTTGAACTTAATTTTGTTTTATTAAAATACAAATAAAAACACAGTACTGTCAGTAGTTTCATAAACATTTTGCTACCTACTTTAACATTCTCAAATATTTTCTTGATTCCACATTTTTGATTTATACATATTTTATTTAAACTTCATTTGTGGTTTTGTAAAGTTTTATGATTTAATACAAAAAAACTGCACATCTCCAACTTTACAATGAAAAGTTAAAACACTGGCCTGAATATACAGATATACATGTTGAGAGTAAATTGTGAGGATTCTGGTAACATGGGTTAATTTCAGATGTTGGGCAATAATTATGAAGACTTCCCAGGATGGCCTAGAGAATATCAGTGTGTTCTCCATCCTGCTGCAGGATTTGATTTCTCTCTGAGATAAATGTCGTTGTGTGTGTGTTTTTCTCTCAGGAGGTCGAGTTGTGTCGTGTTAACAGTCAAGAGAAGCTGGGCCTGACAGTCTGTTACCGAACAGATGATGAAGAAGACACCGGCATTTATGTCAGCGAGGTGAGAAATGCCATGGAGGAGAGGTTAGGGGAGGCAGACAGCGAGCAGTGGAGTGAAATGACTCACGATGAGAAAATCCTTGGGAGGCTGGAATGGGAAGAATTGGCAATGTGCCAGTAGTTGTCACTTTCAATTAGGAAAGTAAATTATGTTGCCCAAGTAGTGGAATTATTATCAGCCTATTTAACGTGGATGCTTTCACCACAGAATCCCAGTAAGGAGAAGTGCAAAAATTGTAACATTGTCTAAATCTGAATAAAGTCCCTTAAGTGCTCAGGAAGCCAAGCAAAGTTTTTGATCAGCAAACGTTTGTCCTTCTGTTCCCACTGTGTCTTTTAACTGTCCTGTTAGCAATAGCATTGACTTTTAAATCTAATATTCACAATAATCAGGCATTTTACTCTGCTGACAGAATTGATAAATTTAAATATCATATCCAAGAAGTGCATTCATTGGTTTGTTTTATTCAGCCCCATAATCACTTTCAAGAAGTGAGGTACTTACCCAGGGAACTGTATTCAATATCTTGTAATAAGCCACAATGGAAAAGAATATGAAAAAGAATATGTACATACATGTATAACTGAATCACTTTGTTGTACACCAGAAACTAACACAACATTGTAAATCAACTATACTTCAATTAAAAAAAGTGAGGTACGTAAATGTGAAATACCCTCAGTGTTAATAACTTTGAAAAAATGTGAAGCAAAATTTATTATTATAGGTGATTTTTTGAAACACTAACACAAGTAAATCAACTATACTTCAATTAAAAAAAGTGAGGTACGTAAATGTGAAATACCCTCAGTGTTAATAACTTTGAAAAAATGTGAAGCAAAATTTATTATTATAGGTGATTTTTTGAAACTCCCCAAAGAATCATTTTATGAGAAGTAGTAAGGTATTATGTGTGTGTGTGTGTATGTGTGTGTGTGTGAGATATATATACATATACACATACAAACATATTTATAATTACACATATACATGCAAACACATATATGCATATACAAGTATATATAGATATGTTATCTAACTCCTGCATGTATGTATGTATACACACATATATGTGTATGAAACCATGTATGTATATATGTATGTGTATGAACCCAAACTAAATACTAATTGCTGTTCTGTGCTGTTCCAAAGTTTCTTGGCCATGACTTTGAAAACATTACATAACTTACTGAGCTTCGGCTTCCTCACCTAGAAACTTAGTACGACAATGCTTATCACATTACTTTTATAGAGGTGTTTAGACTCTGGCAGAGGTAATATAATTAATGAACTTAGAAAACTACGCAGCTCTATAAATGTATCAGTTTACCAAAGAATCTACTGACTGGCTCTCACTATGGAAAAATCTCCAGAGAATACGACACTTATATACTTCTTTTAAATAAACAACTATGATAACCCCACTGCTTATGGTGAGGAAGTATAAGGAAACACCTGCAGCATTATCTTTTGGAGTATGTACGGAGGTACAAATGCAGAATTTTAATATTAGTTTGATTACTGCTCTGAAGATAAAGTTTTAGATTGTGAATGTCTTCTAAATAGGATACAATTGATTAATCATCCCTTATTTCCTTCAAGTAAGTCTCTGTTTACTATTTAAACATGTCAGCTTTGGAACTTTACTTTTCAGGGATAATAAAAAAGCCACAGGAACAGAACAAAATTACTTGGAAAAAATGTTTCCCTATACATCTTACATGTAATTATAGTGTCTTTTGTTCTTGATTGATCACTTAAAACTCATTTATTGGCTGGCACCACCTAATTAAAAAGTAATATCTAACATCTGGATAGGATGGATCAACCTTACCCTACACTTGAAATTCTTTGCTTTAAAAAGGAAAAAAAAAGGCTTTGCTAGAATAAACTCCAATAAATTTTTTGAAGCCTTCATGTGAAATGTGATAGATGGAATTACCCGCAGTGAACAGTAAGTCATCACTCAAGTTTGGCCCATTAAAATGTTGATAAACTCTTAATAGAGCTTTAAATACCTATTTATTCTAAAATAAGTGACAGTATACTTCACCCTATATGTAAAGTAGTGTCTAGTAATAATCTACATGGATACGATTTTTTTTCACTTCTTGAGCTACATAGATTATAAGTCTCTTTATAAATTAATGTGCTCATAACACAGAAATCCCTTTAATAAGTATGGACTTAGGGTATAGCTATCAGGTTTTCTCAGACAGCTAAGACAGGATTTAAAAATCACCCTAGCAGAAAGTAAATTTCCTGGGTCCTAGTATTAGCATCAGCTGAGGATCATGTCAGCTGAAGACCATGTCTGACACTTGGGATACAGAAATGAGTGAACAGATATAAAAATAAATAAATAAAATTTAAAAAAAAGGGGGGAAAGGATAAAAGGAAGGAAGAAACAAAGACAGACAGGGAGAGAAAAGTGGTCCACAAATCAAGATGTGCTCTAGTACTCTTTTTTTTTTTTAACATCTTTATTGGAGTATAATTGCTTTACAATGGTATGTTAATTTCTGCTTTATAACAAAGTGAATCAGCTATACATATACATATATCCCCATATCTCCTATAATAACTCTTTTAATATCATTGACTGCTAATCTAACAGCTGTGTAAGTTCTAGTTTAGTTTTGTTTTGTTGATTCAATCCTCATCAAGGGTCATATTTTCCTGCCTCTTTGTATGTCTAGTAATCCTTGACTGGATGCCAAACATTGTGAATTTTGCCTTGTTGGGAGGTGGCTATTTTTATTCCTGTGAATATTCTTTTTTTTTTTTTTAACATGCTCTAGTACTCTTTAATTTTATTGTAATTAATTCTAAAATACTTCATTTACATTTTTAGAATCAGTTGACAGAAGAAAAATTTGGCATGCACTCTATAAATCAATAGAAAAACTTGAAATACGTTTTTTAAAATATTTTTAAGAACCATATTTTTAAGTTCCTGGGAGGATATTGCATATCCAGTTGAAGCTGTGTGTCCTCTCTCTTACAGGTAGATCCAAACAGCATTGCTGCCAAAGATGGCCGGATCCGAGAAGGGGATCGTATTTTGCAAGTATGTGGTGTGGTTATTTCCTTTAATTTCCTACTATCTGTCCAATAGTTTTAATTTTATTTTGTTCCTTGAAAAATGTTAGAGAAAATAATTTGTCTTTGTTTCTGAATAGTAACATCTACAAAACTAAAAGTGATCATTTAAACCTTTTTAAAAATAAGGATAGTGCCATTTATTAAGGATTATTAGCTAATAATTAGTGAGTAAGTCATAATCTCTGGACTCAGATACCTCGACTTCAGCTTCCAGCTCCATCACTTACTTGGGCACTTTACTTAACCTCTCATTGTAAGCCTGTTTCCTCATCTTAAAGAATGGTAATAGTAAAATATATTGTTGCAAAGGTTAGATATGATTAAGCATGTGATGTGCTTAGCACCCAGTGTATGGTGAGTAATAAGCATTAACTGCCGTTGTTACTAGCATCAGCAGCAGTTATTGCTGCCTTTTCCACAATAAATTAGGTAAACCGGGATCCCAGTGTTCCATTACTATGAAAGTTTAGAGGTCTGAAGAAGTCTTAATTATTTATAAATGAGTTGCTGGAGACATGTGGAGGACGGAATGTGAAAACAGAGGCTGACTGAATTTCAGTTTAAAAATAGAGATGGTAAGCACCTTATAGGGGGTGTATAGACTGGAAAGAGTTCCCGGCCCAACCAGGAAAAACTGCAAAAGCCAAAGTTTCTGTCCTAAATCTCCCTTGACCTGCTCTATCCCTTCTGAGTCCTTTCTCATAAAGGGTGGCTGGAGGAAGACACACAGCACCCCAGCTCTTATGACCAGTTTAACCCAAAATAAGAACAGAGGTCCTTGGGGGTTGAGTTTCACTGCAGATCACAGCTGCAAGACAGGAATGAGGACTCGAATGACAAACTGAAGAAGTTACAAACTGTTAAAACATTCTGCAAAACTTATAATTATTAGGACAGACCTGTTGTTCCCATTTCTCCTTCCTAGACATGAACCCCTAACGAATGTTTCTTTCAATTCAATACATTTGAATTCAACACTCTACTTAGAACCAGGGCTTTAAAATAGACAAGATGCGGGCTTCCCTGGTGGCGCAGTGGTTGAGAGTCCGCCTGCCGATGCGGAGGACGCGGGTTCGTGCCCCGGTCTGGGAGGATCCCACGTGCCGCGGAGTGTCTGGGCCCGTGAGCCATGGCCGCTGGGCCTGCGCGTCCGGGGCCTGTGCTCCGCGACGGGAGAGGCCACAGCAGTGAGAGGCCCGCGTACCGCAAAAAAAAAAGAAAAAAAAAAAAAATAGACAAGATGCCATGGCAGCCTTTGGGGCATTCCCTGTGTAATTAGGAAGACAGCTGCTTACGCAGATGATTACAGTACAATGCGACGCTGTCGTGAGAAAGTTGTGCCACATGAGGGCTATTCTGCCCAGTTTTCTGCTGGTCTTCTTTCCTTTCTTTAGGGGGGGTACTCACTGAATCACACCAGTTCTCCATACTCCTTCCCTTCTCTAGCGAGAGGCCACAGAACTCCTTTTTCATCAAGGACCCTCTACTAAGGCTCCAATGAGGAAAGAATAAAAGTATGAATTAGAGGTTATGGTCCCACTAGTCTTCAGAAAACTTGAAGAATACATAATTCCTACTTTAATGAGCTCCCTAAGTGATGACCTGTAGTTAAACAAAATGGGATGTGTCTATCACTGGATAACTCAGGGGCAGGAAAAGTGAATCAAGAAACCAAGACTTAGTCTTGTTTGCTACCATATTTTCAATGTTTTTCTCACACTCGTGTGAGTAAACGAGTGAATGAAACATGGGTATTCAGTAGAGAGAGTGATAGGATAGATGGAAGAATAAAATCTGCAGTAAAGCTTTACTTATACATCCTCATTAATAAAAAGGGGTACCATCTTCGTGTGTCATCCAGATAATGAAATCTTCAAAAATATTTCATTGAGTTTTTGATTTAGAAATCATTTTAAATGTGTTGTTCACTTTGTTAACATCTCCAGTTAAGTATACTGAAAAGAATGTAAACTTCCTTTGATGCTGAGGGTCATGTCACACCCAGCAATCATCACACAATGCTATATATAATAGAGTAAAATGCTCAATGGCTGAAAGATCTGTAAGATTGTGTGCCCTGATATTAAATGACCCTAGCTGGCTACTTTTTCTGATGCATTGGGTCTATGTTTTGTCATTTTCCTCTTGCTGTTTCCAGATGTCACTTCTTCCTCTCACCATCTACTCACCACACCCCATACCCACTATTGTGCACTCACTGGCTCCCTTCCTAGTTTCCAGGGCACCACCTCCCATAGGCTAGATACACAAATACGGTTAGTAAAATGGTGTCTATTAGTTCTGTGGGTAGAGTTTGATAGAAATAAAGTACATGTGTTTCCACAGATGCATACTACGTATTTTGACATTTCCTGATTCTTGGCTATATTGTGGGCAGGTAAAGTTTTCAGATAAGATATTTTCTGGATAATAAGGCATTCCTTAATGGACTTGATTCATTGAAAAAACAACAGCAGGATTGATAAAGTGCTGTGGTTTGCCTGATTAGTTTATGTTTAGTGACAAATATGTCACATCTAAGGAATAAATACCTGTCACATTAAAAAGCCTAGAATTCAATTCTATCTGCACACACAGGAAACAAAGAATCTTGAGGGTGATAGTAAAATTATATAAAAGAAAACTGTGACAATATTGTACCGATAGACAAATAGCTCCCGTGTGGCTGGTAAGGAGATTATGGGATACACTGTAATGAACAATTAATGACTCCTTTCCCAGGGAGATGAGAGTGGGAGAAAGAGAGGATTTCTTCTCATACTTTAAGTTTCCTGGCTGGCTTTGATTTAAATGAATCTCATTAGAGCAATCGTGATTTTAATTCCCTGTTCACAACGACCTAAGTAGAGTATTTCTATGGTCCTGCCTTCATTGTGTAGCTAAAATTTTCTAACTGTGGTGCTCCATGGTCCTGTCAGAGAACCTCACCTAATGGCACCACACACACAGGTAATCACACGATATTGTTAGAAGGTAGGGGTCATGCAGAAGAGAAACCATGACCCACCTTCATGAGAACACATTCTAGCTCTCATGTGTTTTTTCTCTGCAAGTGCTTGACAGTTCTATTTGCTGTGCTTTTGCCACAAACTGCTGGTATCAGATGTGTTCCCAGGAATCAATATGGGGAAGTTCTTTTACAAAATTGCCGTGCTGAGTCAGGAGAAAAATTAAAGACATACATGATCAGCCGTCTAAAGTAAAGAGTGCTCTAGTCTCATGTTCTCTTTGGCATATACTATTCCATGTAAGCAATCTAATCTCATGTTGGCCAGAAAAGTCAGTCATGTTTCTAAGGATTATTCCTGACAAAACCCTGCAAAAGCTCCAACAGTGGAACAATAAGCCTTCTAATCAGCTCTCTTTCTTTCTCTGCCCTAAACTGGTCCTTACCGTTTCTTCCTACTCTTACTTTCTTCCCTTTGGATAACTGTTTTCCCCCTATTTCTATTCTTTTCACCTCTGTATTTCTATTCTTCACTTACCTTCTTTCTCTCCACACTAAAATATAAACACATTTGAAATAAATCTTTTTTCTCTTGCCTAAGATTCCTGGGTTTTCAAATAAGAAATTCTATAGGTGGTTGAATGCCAAGAAGTGTAGTTGCCTACCTGCCTATGGTACTCTGATACAGGAAACCTAAAAATTGGCATATTCAAGCAAAAAAAGCTATATAAATATATTTCTAGACTTTTAGGGTTTTACACACACACATACACACACACACACACACACACTCATATGCATGTACAGATTAGGCCTAAAGTGGAATTTCGGCTGATTTCTCTTTGTAATTGCCACAAATCTCTCCTAAGCCAAGATAATATCCATTTTGAAACTAATATTTGCATATACCATGCACAGAAAATAAGACAGATATATTATCTAGCAGTTTTTCCTCATTTATAACAAAGGTTAAATATTGTGTTCCTCCTTGCTCTCTTCCCCTCTCTTTTCTTGAAATGGAAGTCTTCCATAAAATTGTGCTGACTCCTGTTCTCATCTATGCCCTCCCCTTGTTTCTGGGTCCTTCAGCTTTCTGTCTGCATGATGTTTCCAGGCTCAGCAAGCTGCTTTCCCAAAAGCAATCCTGTAGCTATGAGCCATCATTCAGGAACAAGAGCAAATGAAGGTGGAAAGCTCTCTCTGATTCCATTCCTCAAGTCTTGTCATTCCTTGAAAGGCATCTTTGATGAAACCTATGGCTGCATTTTTTGCCTCAGTATCAATCTGGGTATGAAACTAATGTCTCGAGTACAGCGGGATCTACCAACCAAGTGGCTAAGGTGGCCTTTATTTTGAAAAATAAACAAAGATTACATTTTAATGCCAGTTTTCTGTGACAGATTTCTTTTATTCCACATATGATGATTCTGGATGTAAAACTGTTTCTACAATGTATGATCTGTCCTCCCAAAATAAGAACATAATGCCAGGACTGGAGACCATGGCTCTCATCAGTATGAGTTCACACAGGAGAGAGAAGAACACCAACTATAAAGGAAATCAAATGCAGCCATATTGTTTCTTGACGGCCCTCTAAAAATTAAAAATATATGTGAGATAGATATCTTTTAAACTAGAACCATGTTTCCTGCTATGGATTTCAATGTTATGCATGAATTTTATTCTATTTTTTTTGAATTTTATTTTATTTTATTTTTTATACAGCAGGTTCTTATTAGTTATCCATTTTATACATATTAGTGTCCATATGTCAATCCCAAGCTCCCAGTTCATCCCACCACCACCACCACCCACATGAATTTTAATATATTTTCTTTGTTTAGAAGAAAAGAGTCTTTCTGAGGGATTAAAATATAAATAATCATAGTAATAATAATAACAACAATAGCATTAGCAGTAATATATGCAAGCTTGAGCACTTTCTGTATAACAGGCACTTATTTAAACTGTTCACATATACTAACTCTTTTAATCCTATAAGAGTCCTCTGAGAAAGGCAGTATTATCTGCATTTTAATAGAGGAAATGAACAATAACATTAACATGACTGAAGAGTGTTTGGATTAATGGTAAGTAAAGTTTAGATGAAGAATTTGGAAGTATGCATATACTCAAGTGAAAAAATACTAGTGAGAGTTGTATTTCAAACAGAAAAGGTTAAGTTGTGTGAGATCATCCAACTTAGTCTCCTTAGGATCAATGCCTACAATGGAGGGAAGATGAACGATTAGGTCCATAATTGATAGACAAATAGATGCATCACAGATATACTACTAAGAATTACTATGAAATGGATAAAAGCCCTCAAAACTGAAAGAAATCATTATTTTTAAACTACACGCAATTGAGGTGGGGGAGGTGTAGTGGAATCCATCACTGCCAATTTATGTTTATTTGAAGAAAAAAAGGCCTTGGACTCAGTACAAAATTTTCAGATACATATTTACCAAAAAAAAAACCCCCACAACATATCCTTCTTGGTCATTAGTCCCCAGTTTGGAATCAAAGTTTTCATTTTCTAATTTGGTGAATTTTATTTGAGAATTGCCAAAAAAAAAAGGGAATGTACTTTATAAAAGCTGAATTTCCTGTCCACACATACAAGTGAAAAACTAAGGAGCTATTCATTTGATCACAGTAAGAAAATACAGCATGAGGTTGTATGATTTTTTCCCCCTTTGACTATCATTGTCTGCTTTCTTTGTGCTAAATATGAGTCTAGGAATAATAATCATTTATTGTTGTCCACAGTTGAGATTCCTGAGCTTGTCTTCAGATAATTATGTCTGTCTTCATGAATCAGCCAGAATCCCAGAGACCCACAAGGAGAAAATGTCAGGAGTCTACTTCATGCTTTTAAGTAGAAATTCTCAGTGAAAGATGTTAGATTAATTATTGAAAAAAAATGGTCAATGCAGCCACACTTTCTGAAATAATTAATACTTATTTTAGATAGAATTACTTGACCTCTTCAAATGAAATTTCTTCCCACATTTTTGATTATGTGTTATGGATCAAAAATCTCATCTCTATGGAATTGAGCAATCAATAAAATAAAAGAAATTTAAAATATCCAAAGAAAAAAGTGTATCAATAAGAGCTAAATACATTTGAACATGAAATGTAGTTTAAAATACAAACTTTAGGAAGCTTATTTGCCCTGTAGAACTTAGAAAAAAGAAAAAGGTACATTTCAAACACCGCTAGAATCTTTTGTTTTAATCGAAAGCTTACTCAAGCTTGGCTTCTTTCAGTAAGCATTCTTATTTTAAAATTTTGTTTCTTACTTTATGTTAATTTTTAAAATTTTTATTTAAGTATACTTAAGAGATGAGCCTTAAGATATTTCATTAGTTTTATTGTTTTAGGGAAGCAGATAGATCCGAGAAAGGAGCTGGAGTAGATGACAATGATACTGGTTCTTCGTTTGATTAGTTAAGCACTGAAAGATATCCCGAGAGTGATTTGGGGCAACTGAGTCAGACCCACATGCAAATACGAAATGATTAAATGAAAATGCAAGCAACAGCAGCCCGGGAGCATCGCCCGGTGAGAGATAACGCGGCAGCTCGCTAATTGGCTCACAGCAAGCGTGCAGGATGACGGATTTCAGTTGTGGTATTGCTGGTCCTACTTCCCCCAGCACCATTATCTCAGAGTGACACTTCCATTACTCTGAGCGGAGAAAGATGAACGTCACCTGTCAGGGGCTGGTTAATTGTGTTGCTAGATGTATGTTGCCAGGGCGCAGGTTGGACATTTATGAACATAACTGCTTCCTCTGATGTCCGCCATCCTTCAGGGATCGATACGGCTCTTACAGTAAGCACGTAATTGAGTGAAGGCACTTACCACTGAGGGGCTGAAGACGAGCCCATTGTGTGAGCTTCATTGTCCATACATTTACCATAAATGAGCTGATATTTGCCATTTATTGTGTGCAGCACTGTGGAAATGGAAACTAATGCGGCACTTTCATCTGTTTTCTAGATAAATGGGGAAGACGCCCAGGATCGAGAGGCGGCGGTGGCCTTGCTATCTAGTGATGAGTGCCGGAGAATCGTGCTGCTGGTCGCAAGGCCGGAGAGTCAGGTCAGAACAGAGAGAGCAAAAGTCTTGAGACTGCACTTTAGGTTCACTGTCTGCTATTCTATAACAAATCAGTGCCACGGATGTTTGTAAAACCAAGCATACAAAATATAATTGAGTCATCTTTCCCAACTGGCCAACCTTATCAAAGCAATTATAAGTAAAGACTCCTTAATATGGCTTCACAGAAAGGCAGCTAAACATCTTATTTTTTTGAAAACACAAAATTGAATCATTACTCTCTCCTTCCACTTGCCAGTTATTTAAATTAATTCATAAATGAAAAATGATTGACTTTATGTGATATTTAATTCTGTGTGGATCCTTGCTTTAGTTTTTCATCTAAAAATACTTAATTGGCATATTAAGGTATCTTGAAAGAATCTCTAATGAGAGAAACATTAGCATATCTAGCTATCAACTTAAATCTTTTTAGAGTAACTTTATCCAATAAAATACCTTAAGTAGTACAGTGTAGTTCCATGTATAGTAAATGAATTTTTTCCAAGTTTAGTGTGACAAAAACAAATTGATATCTTTTAAAGAATTTTTTTATATCTTTACAGAGGGAGATGTCATGAAAGTAAAGGAGAGGTAATGGTGGAAGTAAAGTACTATTGGTACTTCTTTTTATATCCTTTTTATCCCCCACCACAATGCAGAAAGGACATTACATTGTCACCATTCTATCCATCTGTCAGTGCTGGATAACCAACTTCAGTGAATGAAGTTGGTTATATCACCATTTGTCTTTCAGGTTATTGATCTGATATATTTCAGACTCAATAACTACATACTATCTATAAATTACATTGAGTAAGTGTATTTCAGTGTCAGACAGAATCCTGTCTTGAATATAGTGGTTTTAAAAGATCACCCTTTCCGCATATATTTCCATTATGCCCTTGACCATTCTGAATGGTTCCCATAAAGCCTGCTATAGCCTAGGGCAGACTAAAGTTACACACCTGAGGTCCTAGGAGTGGGAAAGGAAACTCCACAACTGGCTGTGCTGTCTATGTGGGAGTGAATTATTAAAATACATATGAAATTGCACTAATTACCTGGAAATTTTGCAAACCGGTTAATCTCAATGACCCCATTTTCTTGAAAAATAACAGAATAAAGGGGCTAAATACGTATTAGTGAAATTAATGGTAAATTGACGAGTACTCAATAGTCATCCTTGCTGTAGAAAAGATATTTCAACTTTATAATGTGGTTTCCCTGCCCTTTCCATGTAACTGCTAGAGAACCTCATTAATTTATAATTAAAGCATTTTCTTTATTATGCCACATAACAGCTATAACATACTGTGGAAAAAATAGAAATTAATAACATAAAACCAGATCCTGTTAATCTTTGATGGCGTACATATGCTTGGTAGAACCACTGGCGTTTTTGAATATCTGGTTACACTCCTGACCCAAGAGTCAATGTTGGAGGATGAATTTTCAAACAAGACTTTCTTTCCACAGTTGATAAAAGATGGTTGTCTGACTCTGTAGCATATCATCCTGTCTGTCAAAATCAAGATCTGCCCTAGCCCCTTGATCCTGAAGAAGCTGTCATGACACTGGAAGGCAGCTAATTGTCTTTAGAAAATCAGATTTCTAGAAAAATAAGGAAAGAAAATGCATTTTAATACCATAATTTAAAAATGTAATTTAAGCAATACATGCTATAAGGTGGCAAAAACAGCACAAAACTTGTATTTATATCACCATATTTTCCCATCAGTTTCAGTATATCTCATTATTGCATTTTTTGCATGTGTATTTTATTTAGGGAGAGTATAGAAGTTTTAGTGTGCTTTTTCTAGGCTTTTTTTTTTTTTTTTAATGTTTCAAATTCTCTCTACATTCTCGGAAATGATCAGAGTTGCTGGGGGCAGTATTGTGCAACCGTGCAATATTTTTAAATAACTAATTTATTTCATTCCCTGTCAACTTACTTTCATTTTCTGCCCATTTTCTTCCTCAGACCATTAAAGATATTGCTATTCTGTCCTATTCCCCTTGGAACATTGGGGCAGAGAGGACTCTTGTAAGAACTGTAGAGAACTTTTGAGACAGTGCAGGTTGTTTCTTTCTTGGAAATGCCACGTGTGAGCCTCTACTGTGCAGACAGATCCCCCTTGTATAATTATGACAGTCCCCACTTTCCCATGGCTCATCTCAAGGGAAAAGTCTGTCTCTGCCACAGCACTGAACTCAGACTGCCATGAATGTGTGTGTAGGGGGAAGGGAAATGCTACAGGGAAGGGAGGTGAGCCAGAAGAATCTCTCCTGACTTAGTGTGCTGTGTATTCCTCCAGCCTAGAGGGAAGTCTTAATCAAAGTAGGCATACACTAACTACACATGGCAACTCAGGGATCTGTGAGGTTAGTTAATAAGAAAAGAGTTATAGGAAAGCATTAATTTCCAGCATTTGTTCTCTTTGTCTTCCCCATCCCTTCATTTCAACTTCAAAAGACTCTGTTCCATCATTCACTGTATCAGTGTTGGCAGATATTTTGTTTTGACCTGATTAAAGAAAAAGTCCTTGCTGTGCTTATAAAAAATAAACATTTCTAGCTTTAAGTAATTTCTTTTGGAGCCTGGCATTTGCAGCTTCATGAAACTTAAAAGGGATTAAAAAATGTAAAACTTGGACAATTATGAATTGGACTGAATTTAAATTTTTAGTCAGCTTAATCTTCATAGCTCATCTGCATATCAAAGTCACCGGAGTGGAACTTGGTCAAGTTATTCAGGCCACAGTGAGATAAATGAGGATGCATAAATGCATTGATGCTTTCGGCCCAGTCAAGTTTGAAATAATTTAAGGTCTAGGTAGCCTTTAGTAAATAAAAAGAAACCTATGATTGCCTTCATTTAATGAATGTGATACATTATACACTAATGCCTCTTCTGGTGCAATTTAATGTCCTCTCAGGTTCGTTTGTTTTTAAGTTTTAGAGGTTCAGTTCTCTTAAAGACAAGCTTATTTTTTGTGTTTGTTTGGTGCTTACCCATTTGTCCGGTGGTGAAAACATCTCCCACTGTTGTCAATTTTGACTCACTAGAAAGCTGCTGCTTCTTTGTAACACAGAGTAAAGGGGAGCTTTGACAATAATTCAGTTAATTCAATCAGCATAGACAGTTAATTTATGTAATCCAGCTCCAAAAACCCACTTTGAAGCAAATTATCTGAATTGACTGTCAGCACTTATCATATTAGCAAGGTAACCATCAGTTTTCCACTTCCTTTTGTATTGAGAAGCCAAAAGGATTTGTTTGGTTTAGTTTGTGTAAGACTGCCACAAGAATACCTACCTTCAGCACCCCAAAGAAAACCCTGCACACTTCACATGACTCCCTCACCCTTACGTGCACATTTAAGGTCTTTTTCCTTGGAATTGGGTCTGAGAAATGAATCACAGTAGTCATGGCACAGCATCACTCTTTACTGAGAGTAACTTAGAATTTTCCTTTTTTCAGATGAAATAAATGTCCATATTGGTGGCAAGCAGCCATCTTGTTAACTTGAAAGTCAGCCGTCTAAAAATAAAAAAGCAAAATGAGGGTAGCCTCAGCGTGTGTGTGTGTGTGTGTGTGTGTGTGTGTGTGTGTGTGTGTATGTGTGTTGGTGGGAGGTGCTTTGTGTGGAGTTGCTTTGGGGGTTGTTGTTAAGGAAAAAGGCCCGATTGTCTCAAAGCCCTATTAGAACCATTGCAGTTCTTTAACACGGGGACTGTTGGGGGTAATGAGCATGACAGCTGTGGATTATGCAGTATGCTTTTCATACACTTTGAAAGACGGTGATGTTCTGTGCTGAGGTCTACTCAGTTATGAGAGAAAATCTGTAGCTCTGTTTCAGGGAAGGATAAAAGGCATGAGTCCAATTTTTTTTATCACCTTTTCTTCCTTCTGAGAGGTGAACTATAGGAGGCTGGTATTTTGAAGAGAATCATTATGATAAAAGGAACTGGTCAGGCGTCACCATTTAAGTTTACCCTATTTTAGCTTGAGTTCTCATTAACTGAATGTAATGTACTAATGTATTCTTTTGCAGCTGGAGGAAGACTGGCTGGAAGATGAAAGGAATGAATATTTAGAGGAGTTAAAGTTGTCGATGTTGGAGGAACAGCATAATGAAGCAATGCAGCGCACTGCCAGTCAGGTGGATCAGGTAGGGCCGCGATCTGAACTCCAGCATTTGATATGATGCTAGTTCTTTTTTAAATGTGTAACCATAAATGGAATAAAAGAACAAAAATCAAAGAGTTTGACCAAACATCTCTGTGATGGTAATTTTTGAAAGCAAATGATCTTCTCAAATGAAGCAGAGGGAATAAATACAATTTTTTTCTATTAAGAATACTTCCACTTTGGGAAGCTTAGGGGCCATTGTGGAGAGTACAGTAGTATTCAAATGCTGACACAGGCACTGTTCAACCTAATTCGGAAATTTAATAGTAAAAATGCATCTTGCTTCTCAATATACCAGCTAAACTATATCTCATGAAGTAACCCCTCCCCCCAAAAAAAGTAATTTTGTATTTTAAAATATTAATGTATTTGAATATTTAGGCAACTTTAGGAAGATGATGACATGATGTAAGCCATCAACCTTATTTGGGTATTTGGTATCGTGATTACACCTTTATACTCCTGAATTAAGAGTAGTTCAACTTGAGATTATTGACCTCGTTTTGTCTTAAGGTCATATATTCATTCAACAAAAAATTCTCAGCCCCTAATATGTTTCAAGTACCATGTTTGATCCTGAGAATACAAAGAAAATGAGCAAAGTTCCTGCCTTTAAGTAATTCATAACTAGTGAAAGATCACAGTGTGGTTTGTGGCAAACCGAGTCTTAGTATTCTTTTCATTTTTGTTGTTGTTGTTTTTCTACTAGATAAGATCAATATAGCCTAGATTTTTTATGTCAGATTCATGTCATTCATTTGCCTAATATAATTTTATTAACACTTCTGCTGTCAATCTGCTTATTTGTTTAATTAGCATCCGATTCTCAACATTAATTCTTAACTCACCCTAAAAGGTAATTAAAAAAAAAAAAATCCTGGCAGTTAGGCTTAGGAATATAAAACGCAAACATCCTATCACTTTACCAAACTGAATGATGAGGTGCATTGACATGCTGGCATCCCATAACAGAGGTGTGTGTGTGTACATGTGTGTGTCTGTGCATGCGTGCTCATGTGTATATGCTAATAAATTATTAGGTTGCAAACTACAGTTGACAGAGCCATGTGTGCTACACTCTGTGCTCACCATGGATGCTCAGTGGCCACTTCACAAACAAGAGTTCATGCTCAAAAGCAATGCTGCTACTGTAGCAATTGCTTTTCAATATAAAGAGGACAGGTTGAAATTTTAATGTATGACTTCAACACTGGCCACAAATAAAGATATTTTTTGGTGGCAGCTGCTAGTTACAAGCAAGAAAGTCCTTGCTCCAGGCTTTTTCTCTCTTAGATAAAAAATGTGACCTGATACAAAATTGACAGGAGGATGTTGGAATAAAGAAAGAAGGGAGAAATCCTGTCCAGGTGAAGTGATATGGTGTCAGATGCTGCCTACTCATCAGATGTAATACAAATGCTAGGTCTTTTGAGGTAACACAAGATGTCCCTGAGGTGAGATTTTCATTGTGTAGAAATTTCTCTTCACCATGAGACTGAAAAATGATGAGAAGTACAGAAACCTTTAAAAGTCCTTTGCCCTTATAAACAATAATAATACATTAGAAATGCCTTGGTAGAAACATTGCCTGTCACTATAATAATTTCACAGGGAAATGATAAATTATAGAGTAGCATTATATCAGAAACCAGGAATTCTAGGTTTGAGAATAGAAAACTGTTTTCACATGTGCTCATAAACCAGTGACAAAAGAAAGGGAAATTCAATTAAAAATTGCATATCCATATTTAAAAACTAAAATACATATCCTCTGAAGGTTTACTTCACATGCTGTCCTTGGTCCTGTAACTGTTGTTAACACACATTTTGCTAATTAATTTGTCTGTATCATTTATTGCATGAAAAATAAGAAAAAATACTGCCTTCCTGCATTTTTTTCAGCTTACCATTAGATAGGAGAAAAAATATAAATGTAAGTTATATGGTATATAAACTCAAATGTCCAATATCAACAATATCCTCTGGGAGTTTTATGGCACAGTGTGCAGATGTCACCACATTTGATGCTGTTGTCACCTTATAGCAAGGGACATAGGGATGTATCAAGCTTTCCATTGTTAGTTACAGTTACTTAGGTATAATATTATTTTATCAATAAGACATTTTAAATCAATCTCAGTATGTTCTTAAGAAATGAGGAAAAATATTTTAGGGAAAAGCAGAGGCAGCAACCACAGCCAGCAGCCCATTATCACGGGGCCCTTCTGAATCCTGCAGGAATCCCGCATGGGCATAGCGAGAGGCATGGGGCAGAGTGACAGAATAAAAATGGCTCCTTCTGGGGGCACTTCAGCTCAGAAATCATCAGAAACGATGCTCAGGGCACCGTCTGCTCTGAGACCTTCTTTTCTTTCTTTCTTTTTTTTTTTTTTAAACATCTTTATTGGAGTATAATTGCTTTACAATGGTGTGTTAGTTTCTACTGTATAACAAAGTGAATCAGCTATATGTATACATATATCCCCATATCTCCTCCCTCTTGCATCTCCCTCCCTCCCACCCTCCCTATCCCACCCCT